AAGGAAAGGCGGAACCTCCCCCCCCCCGGGAAGACTCAACGCCCCTGAAGTCAGCCCCCCCAACCCCCACCTCGCCCCCAGGGTGTTGGGAAGGACCCTGGATTTGGGCCCCCCCTCCGATCCTTCCTCCCCTTCCTAAAAACAACCACAGAGATTATTTGGGGTCTGGGGGTGGGGTTGGTTGTGGCAGAGAGTCATGCCTCCTCCGTCAGGCAATATCCAAAGGGAGCAGGACAGAAAAGAGAGAGAGAAACCAAGCCGGACCTTAAAGGCTGTCACACATTTAAAGTTAATAAAATGAATTAATGCCATGGATCACATAGTTTAATGTACAAACGTTTGTGCATCGTGTCGTTTAGTTGCAGGAGAGGCAGCTGCGCTGATCTGAGCAAGCGTCCTCGTAAGTGAAAACAAAAGAATAACAAAAAATTTTAAAAAGACAAAAAATGCGGTGGCCCTTTAAAGACTGTTAATATTTACTTGAACGTGAGCTTTTGTGGACACGTCCACCTCCTCAGACATAAAGAGAGAGAGAGAGGGAACACAGCCTGAAAATAGAGAGATGGATGTACACCCTGATGGTGATGGGTTGGTAAGAAAGAGATATCTGCATATCAAAGATGCTCTCACAGTGGGGTTGAGAGCATCTTTGATATGCAGGTATTTCCTTGATGCGCCTCCGATAATGTGTGGCATTTGGTCCAGCCTGACGCCCAAGAAAATGCCTTTGTTTCCGAAGCTATTTTTCCCTTGGCTTTGCTGCAACAGACCGACATGGCTCGGTCCCACACGTGCGCGCACAGCCCTGGTTCATTGCAATAACTTAAATTCGGGACTGGTGATTAATATTTGTATGGCTAATTAACAGCTGGGAGTTGGAAATACTTGCTGGTCTCCCTAAGACCACCTAAGAAGCAAGGGCTCTCCAATTACTCCTGCTCACTGCCCTATCTCTTCACAAAGGGCACTTTTGTACTTGAACATGTGAAATGTCCCAGTTTTAGCCTGTCTGTGATTTGTAGTTGATTTTTAGAGACTTCCTTCCTCTTGGCCTTCATTTTTTTCCCTGGCCAGGAGCTGAAACAGGCAATACTGAAGCTCTGAGACCTTTAGACTGGGCATGGGGAAGTAACTGGTCTGTGGGACTCAAACATTTGTGTAATAAACCTGCGTTATGGAAGTTTGAGCCAGCCTTTCAAATTGGTTTGTTCCTTAGAAAAAGCCACTCTGCTCAGGAGCTTGATCTTTTAGCTCATCTTCTTGCCTTGCACAGTCCATTCTTTACTAATCCTATAACAAAATAGGAAACACAAGTCTTTATTAACTAGCTGGTTCTCTTGAGCCAACTGTAATGTAGAGCTAATCATGGGTTTTCTAGCTTCGGATGGTATGTTTGTTCCCACCAGATAGCAAGGTGGGTCCTCGTGGACATGATGTATTTTTTCCCCTCACTTGAACTTTTCTTGAATATCTGAACTGTGTTAATGCTAAAACTGCCCTGTCATGAGAATCACTGAAATGATTGTATGGACGGATCCCGGGGACTCTTAAGAGACTTCCACAAAAGCACAGCAGTGGGAGCACTTTCAACTTGTGCTTTTCTATCAGCAATCTCATCTTCCACATGACAGGTTGTTTTCGTAAAGAGAAGTTGCTTTCAAAGACGTTTATGATAAAGAGTGAGTGGTGATGTCCTGTATTCTCCCAAAAAGTAATAAAAAATTGCTCTTTAAATCTTGACATTTAATTACCAGACTACTTTCCCTTTGGTGCTACTTTTTTGGGGTGGGGGTCCTCCCCTGTTCTCCTTACAATTATTCCCTTCGAATTGAATTCAGATATAATTCTGGTAAATACATCAGTGTTGATACAGTATGTGTGAATGTGGTTAAATTTGTTTATACTGAAGTACTGAACAAATTTAATGTTTATACCTTTACGGTAGATAATGTGTTTGGTCCATGACAAGTACCACTTTTTAAAAATGTCAGGAAAGCTGAAGAGAGCTCTGTTCCTGTTTCTTCTCTTCTCTTTGCAAGTACATAGGAAGGAGGCTCAGGTAACCTCCCATGAGGAGTAGGCCCTTTGCTTTCTTTTAGAAGAAATATTGCATCATATCAGAGTCCAAATCCTGCACAGCAGGCAGGGCACTTAATCTAATTAAAGTTAATTATAGAGGTGCATTTTTTATTTTGCAACTATTGCATTTAAATACCCAAGCTCATATATTTTTGTTTTCCTCTCCAATAGGACATTTCAGTAGATCCACTGTTAATTTAGAAATAGTGATAGTACTGTACATGGATATAAGTGAAACTTAGAGCCTATTATAATATTTAAGGCTGGAATTGTCTGACTACGCATCTGACAGTAACCACCATTGAAAACAACAGGGCTTACTTGTAAGTATGTGGTGAAAGAAGTACAGTATATTATGGAGCAGCTTATATCTGAAGGAACATTTCTTTCAGTACCAGCCTGTAGATACTTTAGACATTCCGCTGGAGCCTTTTTGGAAGTGAGATTCTTAAGGGACATGTGCGGTGTAACAATAAAAGAGAAAAGGCCTTTTCACTGATACTGTCACAAATGTGGGTTTCATGATAGAAATGTGTTTAGTATCTACAAGGCAAGCTTTTTCAGTGACAAATTTAATCATTTTTATTTTCCCCAACATTTTCATTTGAGAATTGCTTTAGTTTGCCATATGTTTTTTAACTGCTACACCATCTTACAGTTAAATGTTGGTTTTATTTTTTTTAATGGCATATGCCCATGTATCATTATATAAATATAATTGCAACTTACATTTGCCTTGAATTCATTGGCGGATCTGTGGTTTGCTGTGTACAATTCATGGGGCTTACGCAGTGGAGCCACTATGCCTCAGGGTCTGTGAGCTTGGAGCACCTGACTGCGTAGGAAGTTTGATTCTCTGCTGTGGCTGGTAAGAGAAGAGCCGCCCTATGCAGCCTTGGGCAAACTGCACAGACCCAAAACACC